TACCTCTTGGCCTGCTCGAAGAACGGTCGCAGCTCCGAAGGGCGCGCGTTGGACGTGTCGCGCCAGCGATTATGGAACTCGTTCGCGAAGTGTTGATGACGTCCAGGCGTTGGCGAAGGTAGCATGCGGTCAATCTGATGCCCCTCAAGATGCTATTCACTCCGTTCTCGCTCTTGGCAGCGCCGATCTTGAACTAGAGCCGCTGTGCCCCTGATTTGGGCGTCTGCGCAAAAAGCAGCAAAGCGTGGTCGAAGCAGTACGAGGAAGCCTCGAAGGCAGCAGCGTCGCGACTCCCGCAACAGCGCTGTGTTGGAAATCACAGCGAGTGACTGGGCGGAGCGGTCTTGCAAAGGACAGGAGTAGCCGGTCCAGCCAGCTGCAACAAGACGATGGGATGCTTCGCAGCAAGCGCGCAATTGAGCTGACAAGATGACGCTACCTGCGCTGGTCGATCCGCTGGCCAAAACCTGGGGCGCAGTGCGAGAATCGAGGGAATGGAGAAGCGCACCGATACCAGCGGCGCCAAAGACTGTCTACGAGACGAGGCGATCGCCGCTCGTATGAAGAAAGAAGCCTGCAGTGGTGCTGTGAGTAGGGATGAGTTCCGAAGGGTGCTGCTGCGGGAAGAAGTGTCGACGGCGGCGTGCGCGCGGTCGATGAATGATCCGGGCAGGCTGAGCAAGGCGTGAAAATCCAAAAGCAGCCAGCCCGGAAGGGGTAGATGGAATGCGGTGTGAGAAGGAGGAACTGAAGCTCATAGGAGCAAGCAAAAGGCTGCGCGGAAGATCTTGCTTGACCTCGTACGCCCTTTGCACCTCGACATAGCTGCAAGGTGAATAATAATCAATAACCCACATTCACATTCAGATAGAATTCATGGTAGGTGGATGGTTTATCCCTTATACAAGATCCCACATCAGGCACAAAAGCGCAGCTCTGTGCGTGTCCTTCCCGCGCCCGGCGAGCAAAAGCTTGTACGCGGCAACTGATGATGCATGGGCGGGCAGGGCGAGTCATCAGCGCGGCTGATGCATGATGCAGCATCAGCAAGCAGCGCGTGCATCAGAGAGCTCACATGCACACGCCCACACGTGCTTCGACCGTCTGTCTACCTGCTGTTGAGTTAAAGGACAAGCAGATCTGGGCACAAGCAGCGAGCAGCCATGCATGCACTGGCTACCTGGCTTGCTTGCAGCTGAGAGGGCGTGCGTGAGCGAAAAAAACTTGGTGCGAGTCTGTAAATACTACAGTAATTTGAATCATACAGTGCCTTGCCGCCGGCTACTTCTTACCGGGACATACGCAGAGCTCCTTGTCGCAACACGTGACTCGCTTGGGTGGCCCTGATGCAGACCTTAGAGGAAGCACCTCACACCGAGGATGTAGGCTCTGCCATGCCTCATTACTACCCCCTGGCCATACACTATGGCGTAGTGGTCAAAGATGCTGATTCTATTCGACTACATACTCCGACAAATGTACGACGAGCTAGATGCGCACCGAATGTGAAAGAGAGAAAACGAGCAAGTCCTGATGGGTATGTGTGGCAAAGACTGCACTCGCACAGCTGTCTCCATGGGTAGAATCAGCGAAACATCGCTGCTTGGTGTGGATGCTGCTCTCTCAAGGCGGCTATCTCGTTGGCGTAGGCAACGTCGAAATGCTGTGGCAGTGAAGCAAAATCGCAGCAGTCAAAACCCGGACGAGGCACTCTGCATCGCATGCGCTGCTCGCTGCTCCTCACCTCAAAGTATGAGCGTCGCTGTTGCACTGGGATGCTACGACATCCGGTCAAGTTGATGGACTGCAGCAAGCGTTCAACCGCAGCAAGAAGGTGCAGGCGATACGATGAGCCACTGCAACAAAAATAATCGCCAGCAATCACTGACCTCCAAGAAAGGACTCCTCAACACGAGATCGGCCACCTCCTCTCTGCCCAGGCCGCTATCTGAAAGGTCTACCGAGCGCAGTGGCGCATGTTGCGGCACGAAACAAAATAGCAGAGGTTTGGCGCCGCTCACAGGGTTGTATCGCTTCGAAACAGCGCTGATCCCTCGAGTCTCTGCAAAGGTAGATCTTCGCTGTCAAGGTACAGAACATTGCCCTTGAGAACCAGGGCCTCAAGAATAGAATAAAACCGGGTCAGCTTGCGCGTTACTTGTGTGGACATTCTGCTGCTGCTTACCTTGAGCGATGGAAATGTGCGACATATCTCCTGGCTTTCACTTGTCAAGGACCTTTGAAAACAAGTATCGCCAATCACCAGCTTCCTCAAGGGACACGTATCTCTCCCCTCGAGGCGCGTGATCCACCTCCAGCAGTGCTCATCGTCAATATCAGAGCATTGGAGGTTCAATAGAGTAGGTGCAGACCACTCGATGAGCTGGGAGAGGCTTGTGCCCTTTGACAAATTCAACCCATTCAGAACGAGCTTCTGCAGCTTGCTAGGTGACCCGCTGGACACTGGACCTGTCTCCAAGGACATGAGCGTCCGCAGGGCAGTATAGCTGATGTCTAGGCTTTCCAATCTTGCTCCGCAGAGTTTGATTAGCGCGCCAAGGCCTACCTCGTCGATGATCGTATTCTGGAAGGAAGAGGACCATTGCTGAGAAGACATGAGGGCGCCGCGACGCGCAGTTGCAATTCACCTTGACCTTTAGCTTGCGAAGCTCAAGTAGAGGCACGAATGGATGCTCAACCTCCGCAGCGCGTGCCATTGCGCGATTGACGGCAGTAGTCACTGCTTTTCCCGTCTGCAGGGCAAGTCGAGCATATCGGGAATCAGCCATCCTGAGCCAAAATGGTGAAATGCCCTCACGACATCTCACAAGACCAAGGACATCTGCAGCTTTCAGCACACGCAAACGTCTAGCAAGGAGCGCTTCTTCCAATCCTGCCGGACCAGCGTCGGTGTATGAGATGTTGAGGGTATGCAACCGTGGATTGTGGCTCACGAGCACCTCCAGGGTCTTCGCACTGATGCGAGCACAGCCTGATAGGTCCACCTTCAGAGAACAACACAGAATTTGTTGAGCAAGAAAGCCCTGACCCACTCGCAGAGCTGCTCGAGCTGCTCACCTCTTCAAGACGCGTCGCAATTGTGAATAGCTTCTGCGCAGCATCATCAGACAGGTTCGTCAGTCCTCTGAGCGAAATGATCCTCAATGCGTCCGCCTTCTCTCCCACGTTGCCAAGGAAGCGAGCTAGTGGTGCTTTGCTAAGCAGCTGAGGTATTGAAGATGAAAGCAGTAGTCGATCACACCTCGTAAAATAGGAACAAAGTACGTGGGTCGTCAGAATCTCCGGGCGATGCTTGGCGACGGCTTTAAGCAGGCTTGACGAGAGCTCTGATGGGATTGCGAGAAGGAGCTCATGATTGGCTCTGTGCATCTCTTGTGCATATGTGCCGCTGGGAGGAGGCGGCTGGTCCGATAGAGCACTAACAGGGATGACAGAGCTGCTCGCCGATGTCCCAGACTCTGCAGCTTGCCGTGCTTGTCGCGAAGAAGAAGATGAAGAAGTCGCCGCATATGTCGCTACCTCAGCCTCCTCCGGCTGGTAGTCTGCATCGTCGTCGTCGGCGTCCTTGTTTGGCGGCGCGCCAAATGGTCTCTGGGCGCCACGTCGACGTTTGGAGGAAGGGTGATGGGATCGATCTGAGCGCTTGGCTGTCTGTACTGCGCGTGATTCTCCTGCAACAATGGGGCCTGTGCTATAAGCAGGCAACACGTGCGTGTTGAAGTACCTAGCAGCTCGATCCACGCACATGCTGCTGAGACTTGGGGGTTGCCAAGGGAGGCCAAGCACATGACACCTCGCAGCATCCCGGGTATAAGAGGCAGGTCGAGTGGAAGCCTCCGTCGTACTGCTCTCGGCTCTCGCGTACATGTTCTGGACGCTGCTCTCCAGCTCGCTGTCCGCATTGAGCCTCTGCACCCTTTCCGATGGTCGACCTGCGTGCCCATGCTTGCCACCTCGTCCTTCTGCCGATCTCCGACCACCTTTGTAGCGCTCCGACGACATGCACGCAACTGAGGAGAGAGGGGATCACGTTGCCTATTTGCTGGATGGTAGTTGGCCCAAAGCTTGCATTAGAAAGCGACCTTCGCCATTGTGATTCAAGTGTTCGCAGGCTTGCTTGCTGACCACCGACACTCCCGACTCATTCAGACTTGTGACTTGACTGACTGACTGTGCATGCATGCATGCAGCGTGATTCGTGTGGAGAATCGCGAATTACGGGCCGAGCTTCTTCTTAGGTGATCCGGCGGACCGATCACGCGCCAAGTCGCGCAACGCAAAAACGCGCACAGCCGCATGGCATGGCATGGACGCGTCGCGAGTGCACTCTTCGCCCAGACAAGGCACAAACCACCATCCATCCTGCCTTCGCGCCACGCCGAATATCGGCCAAACAACTCTGGAGTCTTAACTACCAAAGGCATGTTGGCGTCGGGGTCGCCAGTGCGAGTGACTCACGCAATTAGGGGAGTGTCGAATGTAGAAAGCGCGTCGGGGCAACCATGTCGCATGATGAGCACAGTCTCGACATTCCCGCCCTGGATCCAAGTCAACCTCGGTCCATCTCTATACAGGCGAGAGCAAGCGCGGATACCTTCGCTGGCTCATCGCACGCTCTTAATCGCACAGCTTCAGGCCTGAGCGGTCTACCCGAGCTGCTCGCCATCTCGAGTCTGGCCCAGCCTAAAGACGCGTTCGATCCAGAAGAGCTTTCCGATGTCTTCCATCTGCCTTTGCCTGGGGATGGCAGCACGCAGCGGCGTCTTACAGATTATGCGCCTACACCTCCACTGACTCCACCAGAGGAAGCAAGATCACCTCCGCGCATCTGGAGCTGGGACTCGGACGATCGACTTGTCGAGCCTTTTCTTAGCGATCGCATGGTCAACGAGCGAGATGCCTCGACGGCGGAGGCTCTCGCACTAGTGTGAGTGATACACTTGTTCCAGGCTTATATCGCCACGAACTGATGCAGCGCTCATGATTTCTCTCAAATATCATCCTTGACAGGCTCGCAAAGTATGACCACGCCGGACCATCTTCCAGCAGCGATGCGTCTTTCGCTCCGGCACATTCACAAGAAAGTGTCAGGAAATCGCTAGAGTTGGCTCTTGCTTCGCATGCCTCGACTCACTTTGCCTGGGATGCAGCCAGAGCAAGATTCGTCTGGCGACAAACACACGATCGAAGGGTACGCGCCTCAGCTGCGAATGGCAAGGGCAAGTCGCGGAGCGTGGATGGCATCACTGAGTGGATCGGCGAGGAGCGCATACACGGATACACGGCTTCAACTTCTAAAGCTATTTCAGCACCTTTTCTAGAGATTGGTTCACTGCGGCGCCGACTTGAGCTTCGCTTGGAGGAATTGAGCGTCAACACGGATGTGCCGATTCCAGAAGTGTTTGCGCTTGCTGCTGCAATCCGGCAGGTGGTTGAGTGGCTGGGAAACGAACTCGAGGGGAGGATAAAGGAGAACGATATCTCGAGGGAGAGCTCGCGCTTGGACATACCTCGCCGTATGTTGGCATCCCTTTCGATGGCGTTGGCCTGCGTAAGTCTATACCTCAGACCATTGGCTCCATTCACGAGTTGGCTTACCCGGCGCGATTACTCGGCCCTCATTGAAAGGATGTTGCCCGCAAGCCGCCCTTCCCCTCCTTCGGCATCTTGTGCAACGTACAAGACATCCAATCACAGCCCTCGCAGCTTGCGGCAAATTTGCTGGGAAGATTGTATGCAGAAGCCGAAGCTCAACTGACTGCTGGTGATGCTCTCAGCGCCGCTGCTTTGGCATTTGTCTTGGAACAAGTGAGCGAGACGTGGAGGGCAGACGTGGCAGCTTGGATCGGTTGGCCGGGCTCGTCGGCTCGAGAGGAGATGTACCTGGGAAGCAACGGATTTTTCGAGCCATGGACAGGAGCGGAAATCAGGTGGAGCAGGGACACAAGGGGGGAGCTCGATGTGGGATACGAGGTGAGTGGGATTTGAACGCTGGTAGCTTGTGATTCACATGATCTCCAAGCTGATGGCTTGTCGGATTCCTGGCGCAGCTCCGACTTCGTCGAGTCCCCTACTTTCTTCCTGTCGCTTGTGCCAGAGATTTGCTGGAAGGTGGCAGAGCACTACGTCTTCTACGCAAAGCTGCTCCATCAGGACACCCTTTGCTATCCTATATGCAGTCCGCCTCTAAGCATACCCTGCCAGCTCCAAGCTGGCTTTGGTCCAAAGCTGATCATGATCGACACCGGGAACGACTACTGTCCGAGATTGCAAATCTCAAACGCAGCATAGCTCATTGGCGGCATGGTCGAATAAGGAACGCCTTCCCATCCCGGCCCTCAAGCGCGGCCGCTATTCCAATCAATGATGTGGCTGGTCTGGCGGAACACGCAGCCCTCCGAGAAGCTCCAAAAGTAGGGCCTGATGTAGCCTGGTCTGCGACTCATGTATCGCTCGAAAGAGCTTTAAAGCTCTTCGATCAGATGCCAGGCTCTTCTCTGCCGAGCCTGGAATCAGATGATGTACATCTACCACCGGCACTTGCAGGCGACAGGGACGTCAGCACAGGCAACCCTGTCACTCCAACTTCTTCGCTCCTTGCACACTTGGGGCATGCCGCTCAGGCGTCGGATGAACTGCGCAACGACTTTGCCCTATCTATCTCTATCGTCATCTACGACAGCTACATTTCCCCAATGCTCGAATGGTCCCGACTTCTCAACTCTGCTCTGCTAAGCTGCTACTTCCGCGATTTTGGCTTGACGACTTACCTCGAGACATGCCGGCAATTCCTTTTGCTTGGTGACGCAAGCTTCCTCAGTCGTGTGTCTATGGTGCTTTTTGAGCAGGGTGATGAGTCTGGAAGGTTGGAAGAGGGCTGGGCCCCGGGCTTGGGCAGAATACTCAATGTCGACGAAGCGTGGCCTCCCGGCAGACCCGAGATTCGATCAAAGCTCAACGCTAGCGTGGTCGAATCCCTTGCTGACCTCAGGAGACCTCACGAGGAAAGGGGAGAAAGCAGTGCGGAAGCTCGGGCTCTCAACGATCTCGATGCGAGGTTGTCCTTCGCTTTCGTCCAACCAGATGATCTGCTGAAGGGCAAAAAAAATAAGCGTAGCTGGCAGGACAAGCACTGTGAGATTGCCGCATCTATAGCCTCCATGTTACGCGCGCTGACTATATGCATTGTAGCAATCGATGGGCTTGATTGGTTGGTGAGTCGCCCAGACTCTCGTATCCGTGCTCACTGTCCTTGAGTCTCATTTGCATACCCTATCTCTTCCTCTTGTGCAGACTTTGAGCTTTGAGCCACCTCCTTTGATTGCCCCTCTGCTCCACGTCAATATCAGCACCAGATATCAACGCCTGTTCAACCAGCTCTTGAAGTTCGTTCGGACACAAGCCGTTTTGAGAGCCCTCTTCGAAGAGCTCGTGAGAGGAAAGCGGCCAGAATCAGCCTATCGCAATCGCAAAGATCCGAATCGCGCACGCAGACCCAAAATGACTCCGACAAGACTGCCTTTCGACTATGATCAGCCTTCACGTGAGATTTGCTTGCGCTTCAGACGCGAGGTGGATCATTTCACAACCGTCTTGTTCGCCTTTACGACCTCGGCCATTGACGAGTCTTGGACGAGATTTAAGACTCGACTTCGCGAATTGCACGATGAAGCTGAAGCTCGCGACGGGCTTTCGAGCGGCTTCAAGGACATTGCGATGCTTGAGAATGATGACGACGAAGCGTCTGGCGCGCCACCTGGGTCATCCACATCACGACCGGCTTTGCAGATCAAGGATGTGTTCAGCCTGGCGCTGTACCACGAAACCACGCTTGAGCGACTGTTGCAAACGTGCTTTTTGCGCGCGCGGCAAGCGGATCTGCGCGTGTACATCGACAGCATCCTCAACAGTGCTCTTGGTCTTCTGACGCTCTGTCGCGAAGACGTTCGGTCGACGCAGTCGGACGCAACAGCTCCAGCTCGTATGAAGCGCCTGCGAGACTCGTATGCCAAGTTCACCTCGCGCGTACGCGGATTCATGCGAACCTTGCATGCCATTCGAGAGCGCGACTCTGCAGGCGCGAGCAGAGTCGCCGGAGCGTCCAGCGCAACGTTGAAGACAAACGCCAAGCAAGGCATGTCGAGAAAAGCTCGCGAAGAACGTCGACTGATGAAAATGACGGAGGAAGACTTGAAGATTTTGGAAGGTCAAAATCCACACATCGAGGCCAACGTGGACAGCGTTAATGAACTGATTGCCCGCCTCGACTTTGCGGGATACTTTTAAGAGTCAATGACATTCTCTGTAAACTTCAGCCCTTATTGCATTGCAAGACAAGAGGCGTTACGCGCGACAGACGGTGGTATTGGGAGAAGCAGGAGGAATGGGTGCACAGCCAGCAAGGTATGAGGGATCGGAATGAGCATAGCGAGCAAAGCGGCGGAGGCAAGTCATCAGGAGACATGCCGTGGCTATCTCTTCGTAGAATTCCGTGACATCAGCTTCGACAAGCGACTCGCTCCACCCTCCACGCGAGAGAAGAGACTCGTGCCTTGCTTCGTCGAAGTGCCTCGGTTATTGGTCAAAATCGAGGCTTCGTAACGGGATATGGCTGAGGCGGGAATCGTGTGGGTGGCACCTCGCATGGTGGCGCCATCTGAAGCTCCGTTGGGTGAGAGAGCGTAGGGCACAGGGCTACCGACGCCGGGCTCAGGACTGGCGATTGGCGGTTCCTCGTCCAGCGTTTCGCCATCCAATTGTCCGAGCGAGGACTTGATTGGTCGAGCTTGCTTCGACAGGCTCGCTGTGAATCTCGCAGGAAAGAGGTCAGCGCAGGGTAATGTGTCAGCGCTCACTTATCTCGGACGCCCGACACTCACTGATGTGCTTTTGAAGCGGGCTCTGAGCAGGCGGGTGATCGGATCCATGCGGAGCGCGCTGAAGACGACTATTCGCATCCAACGCATATGCGTGCGACGGGTTCTGTTCGAGCAAAAGTCCAGCGTTGCCGCTTGTGGACAGTGTGGTGATTTGATTGCTTCTACCGCTGTCTACGCTAGTCTGATGGCCACTGCTAGAACGGCCGACTTCCTCTTCGGTCGTACCGACTTCGAGCTCGAGGCGACTGATCTCGTCTGCAAAATTTTGCTTGAAGACTGCGATGAACGCAAGAGAATGCGGATGAGCAAAGACTTGGCGCAGAATTGTCGCCTTTACTGATACGACTCACAACGCTCCAAAGTATCGTGAAACGGCCGCATCTCCGGCGGACACATGCGCGCGTGCAACTTGATGCAGCGATGGATGACCAGAGCCTGCTTGTCGATGGCCTCCCGAAGCTTGTGAATAAGAGGCTCTTTATCACTGTTTGCTGACACAAATTGCGGGGAAAAGAAGGCCTTTCTGTACATGGGGATACCGCCATTCACGGGTGCATCGACAGCGCCGTTCAGCGCCATGGAGAGGCGGTTGGTGTTGGCTCCTCGCGCCGCGGCTTGATTTCTGCCGGACACCACTTGATTCAGTGCAGCATACTTCTTCTCCAAGCTTTCCAGCTCTGAAGTCTTCGCTTCTGCGTCGTCGATGGCATTTTGCAAGGGCGACAGCTCGACGGTCCAAAGTTCGGCCACATGACTGCGCCGCAGGACAGTTGGGAAATGGTCTTCACAGCGCAGATAGGTCTTTTCAACCCAGAGGTTCTGCGGTTCTGCGCTTTGCGTGCCGGCCGTGACCGGCTTCCTCGTTCCCTCAGGGCTTTTCCGTATCGGCCTCGCGAAGCTGAATAGGTCGGTCGCGTTGTGCTCAAAGTAAGCGCGCACGACCGGCGGTACCTCGGCGTTGGTGAAGATGTCCTTGAGCTTATCAGCCTCGGGTTGAAGAGCAGTGACCTGCAAGTACATTTCCTCTCCATGACGGATCGACTCATCAGGCAATGAGGTGCTCTTGATGAGCGTCGCTCTCGGATGCTTCTGGTGCAGTCTCTCGCAGAAAGCACCAAACTTCTCCCAATCGAGGCCGCGATACACGAACATCTTATCTTGAAGACTGTTTGGCCAGGATTGCCCGTAGTACGCAACGCGGAAATAGCTAGGGAACGTACGCTCGACGGTTGCGATCTTCTCGAACAGTGAAGCTTGTAAACGCAATACGTCGGCAAGGCGTCCGTAGTCCACTGAGCGATACTCGTACTGATGAAGAAGCTCGCGACAGATGTCGATAGAGATCTCCCATGCGGAACCTTTTCCGAGATAGTCTAGGATGAGCGTGTACAAGGTCTCTTTCCGAGCGAAGTGAGACTGCCGCGGTAGATCAAGGTCTGGGATCGGCTCGACGAAGTTGTCCATGTCCCACGAGTGCAGATCAGCGTGTAACTTGAGCGTCAGCGCAGCTTCGACATAATTACGATTTTCAAGGTGAAGCTAGAACGAGAGTGGGTAGCCACGTCAGCTAAATGAGCGCGGCCAGGTGTGACTGGAATGTCCCTCAGCACACTTACATTGACTAGCCTCAGCACGTGTGTCGAGAAGGCTGTCACTCTATTTGCTTGGCGCAGAAAGCCCAAGAGCTTGAGCGTGCCTGCGACGCGATCGTCTTCGAAGCCTTCTTCCGGGGGTAGACTTCGTACATTTAGGAGTAAATCTAGGAAGCGATTGACGCTGACAAGACAAGCCAAAACTTGCTCTCGCAGCTTGGCATCGACCAGCGGGCTCTCAAAAAGAGACCTGAGCTGGCCGATGAAGAAAGCACGAGAAATCTCGTCTCCTTGGGTATCGGTGATGAAGAGCACATCCAGTTTGTCGATGATCTCGGCTTCGATGACACTGAAGTCACCATTCAGATGCCACTCCGAGGTGATCATCGTAGCAAGCACTCTTACTGCACATGTGCGCAACTCGTCGTGGTGACTGAGACAGAGCTCAAGTACTGGCTCCACGAGAGAAGGAACAAACTGGACTTGGAATCCGCCAGTGTTGAGGCGACCCGCATCGCTGCCATCTGCATCTTGGCCATCGACGGGCTTGTCAGGCTTGTCAGGCCAGCCAATGGAGTTCCAAAGCTTGGCAAAGATTTGTGCACCTTCTCCTCGAATGTCGCCAGCAAGACGCCACACGGCCCGCCTCCGTTGCGGTTTGAATTGTTCGATCACGAGCTGATCACTAGATAGCAGGGTGAGCAGCATATCCAGGGCCGATCTCCAGAGAGTCGTGTTGAACTTCTGCGATTCGTCTGCGGGCGGGATGAAGTCCCGCACCAGTAACGCTGCAAGGGGATCTGCGATTTTCAACACCATCTGATGAACCAGAATGTTGATGTTGAGCCAAGTGCTCGGATACGCTTCGTTAAGAAGGATGCCTGTAGCGACGTCGAAGAAGTTGCAGAGGAACTCAGCAAGCTTCTCTGCGCCTTCCAGATCGAGCTGCTCATCGAGGAAGCCGGCCAGATGTCTTCGAGGGCTGAGCATGACCAGCACAACCAGCACGGCAGCTATCTCTCCAAGCCCGCAATTGAGGAAGTTGTGATGGTGTGTCACCAGGCGCCTCCTTGCCGATCTCGGTGGCGCGCCATCAGCGAAGCCTGCCGGTCGCTTTGCCATTAGTGGAAAAGGGTAGCTCGAAGGGAACATCACGGGAACCGCTGATGCGATAGTGGAAGGTGACCGATGCCGAAGCAGAGTCTTGACAGTCTCTGGGCTGCTGAACACTTTGTATGTCTGTAGCAACAACGGCATGGTGGAGAGAATATAGTCGACATTGTCCTGCTCTTGACGCATGGCACGCGCCCCTGAGGGCCCGGCCTTTCGCTGCTCGACGATGCTGTTCTGCAAGCGGTCTAGCACAACTCCAATGATGGTCACGCTAAGGCGCGCCCCTTCCATCCAAGCTACCCGAGCAGCATCTCTCGCGCTTTCGTGGTCGCCTGTATTGGTGTGTGCCCCTTCATCGTAATGTCCAAGGTGAGGCCGGACCCATCGAATGATGCTGGGAATCAATTGAGCACGAGACTCAGACTCGTCAAAAATCTTCGTGCATGTGACGTGCAGGATGTGTAGCAACTTCCACACCATCATGCGGCCTTTGGTGATGAAGATGCTATCCACGAATGCCGTCTCGACGCGTACAAGCTCGTCGTTCGGGAACACCTTCGATAGGTCCGCCAGAATACCCGCAAAGTGCTGGAGTGCCAGCGTCTGAGTCCCGACGATGGAGGCCGGCTTCGTGCTGGACATCAGGCGATTGACGGAGCGAAGAAGAGTCTCAAGATCCTTCTTGAAGCTCACTTCGAAGTGATCGTCGACAGCGCCTCCGAGGGGTCCAATCGCGCCGTCGGATGTGGTGTCTCCCTGTTTCTGGCGAGAGGTAATGATGAACTTGAACAGGTAGGGCCAGACCTTGATCGCAGCTCGTAGGTCCTTGGAGGTCTCTGTACGACTCGGATCAGCGAGAAGGCGTGACATGGACGCCATCAGTCGAGTGTACGCTGTCTGAGAGTGGAAATGTTTCTCGATGTATACATCCAATGTGGCGCGGAAATTGTTGAACTGGATACGAGCTTGGAGGTCAGCAGGGAGCACTTCGATCGAAGCTTAGACAACCATCGACTTACCCTTCGATCTTGAACAATGCCCAAGACGAAAACCAGAGCATTGAAGACCAGATCGTCCAGCTCACCGCTTCCGTTCTTGGGGCTCACCACAATCGCAAAGAGCGCGTCGAAGATGTCCCTCAAGAATTTGACGATCTCAACTTCTCCCACAAATGTGAATTTGACGAGGACTCCTTTGAGTTCCTGCAAGTCTTGCGACAAGCTGCGCTCCCAATTCAGCAGCTTTAGAAGCACCTCGTTCTGGGTGAAGCGCGTCGAGACCAAAAATGTGCGAAGCGTCATGGAATCTCGCAACGGTTGAATGATCGATGCCAGACTCGAGGGCACGACGTCACTGGGATTCTGAGCCGTGGAGATGGTTGGCGGCAAGCTGAAGTACAACTCCGGGCTCAGGTGCTGAGCTGGGCGGGAGCTTCTCCAGAGCAGCAACGTGTGGCTGCCGTCAGGAATGAAAGCAGAGCTATTCTCAAAGAGTGGTAGGTATCCGTGGGCAAACGGCGCATTGAGAGCCTGTGCCAAGGTTCCAAGACCACTAGCTGCCCCGCCTGACCCCGCAACATCCCTGCTAGCGCCACCTCCAGCGCGTTCCTCTTTCGAAGAGCGATGCCTAAAGCTGAAGAAGATGTGGCAATTCTCCATCTGCTCATTAGGAAGCTCGAGCTTGAAGAGCTCTCCCCAGGTAGGCGCGTTCTGATGATAGAAGACAGTGGAGTCGAACTGCGTGACAAGTCGCTCCCCGGCTCCGCGCGAAATTGCACGTTCGAGCACGCTGCCATCTCGGAGCCGTATCTCAGCGGAGACCTGTATATTCTTCTGCGTGCCACCCCCAGGCACCTTCGTGCCGGCAGGGAAGAATTCTCCACTCCACAATTTGATGTATGCTTCGTTTCGGCGATCACCGGGGAACACGACGTCTGGAAAGCCTAGACGAGCAGTCAGCGGCGCATCCTGCAACAGACTGGGATTCTCGTGCACCAGATTCGTGGCTTCGCCATGCAAAACTTTGATGTTGACTGCCAGAAGCTCTGCTCTAGGTGACTTCTCAAATTCTCTGATACGCGAAGCTATGATGTCTTGATGCAGCGTGCTGAATGCAGCCTCGTTGAGTGGGACGAAAATCGGCATCACGTGCTCCCGCATCGGACTGCTCGTGGCGATGTCGGTCTGAAATTTGTGGTGGTCTCCGAGCTCGAGCACTGCGCATCCAAATGGACGCCTGAAAGCTCGGGTGCTCGCCATCCGATTCGGACGCATGCCTGGAACTCCGCCGGGCGGCAAGTCGCCATCGATCGAGCCCGCATCGGTTAAGTCACCGGACAAGACGTCCGCTGGCAGCAATCCAGAAGACTGCGCCGAGCGGATGGAGTCCACAGCTGTGATGCGCATGGCACCATTGCGGACGATGCGACAAACAACATTGAGCTCTTGCATGTCCGTTGCGCTTAGGTCGGTGAAGAGGGTCCGCATTTTGCCAAGGCGACCTTCGCTTTCTCGCGCAGGCACACCTTGGTGATTCAGCACTACACAATACTCTTCGGTCAAAAAGCGTGACTCGGCTTTGTTGTAAAGCGAGAGGTACAGCTCGCACGTTTCCCCGGGGACGCATGGGCTTGCCACGAAAGCCTTGACGTCGAGGTACACGTGGAAGTACTGCAAGAGCAAGTGACATATGAGTGGTGAGCAGTAGTGCTCTTCGAATCAAGGACGATTGTATGCTCACCTTGACACCTCTTGTTGGGGGGTCTCTGCCTGATGAGGGGCCGCCATTCGTGGCGCTGGACCGTGCGTGTGGAGCCGGCGCAATGCTGCTATGCTTGGCTGATCTGCTGCCCGAACCGCCAGCAAAGCTGGAGGAAGCGCCAAGGACCCCAGCTGTGGACGTGGAAGGAGCGCTTATACCGAATGCAGTGCTAGCAGCAACTTCGAGACCGTTGGATTGAGTGCTATTCGCCACGCCCGCGCTAGTCGATGCGTTCCCTTGCTGATCGACGTACGCTAAGCTTGCTTGCAAAGCAAAAAGCCTAATGCCGCTGACCCAGCTTTCGGGATCGCTATCTTTCCCGGTAAAGTCCACGTCCACGAGACCTCCGCGACCCGGGTGTCGCACAATGACGTCGAGCCCTTGCAGCACGTTGCCCTTGACCAACCTGGCTACACACTCCCTGCGCAGTTTCGACACTTCTTCAGCGCTAAGTGTCTGTGCGAGCAGCTGCCTCCGAGCGACGTGCAGCAAGTCGGTATGCTCGCGAACAGCATTGAAGAGACCGTAGTCGCGGCGTGCCAAGTAGGTGTACATAAGGCTGCTCCATTCGCGCAAAGCGCACGCTATTTCGTCCACCAGCGGCTCATCGCTTCCGCTGGCGGTCTCGTCTCCACACTTGAGACTTGGCAGAGGCGGAGGAGGGCGTTCCGCATCACCATTCGAGTTCTCTAGCACGAATGTGTCAGAGTCTCGAGTATCTGGGGTTGACTTGGGCGCCGCGACACTTGCCGGGGTCGGGGTTCCAGGAGCGCTTGATGAGCCTTCATCTTCTTCATGCACAGTCTCCATATGCGAAGTCGAAGACTTGCCACCATGCGGAGGGGCTGTCGCTCCGACGATGCCTTGCTCCACTGCAAGAGCATGGACCTCCGCCAACCTCAGCTCGGCATCGTCCAGCTGTTCGCGGATATGGATGTGAGTCGAGGGGAACAGGCCGACGTATACTTGTGGCTCCTCAACGACAGCGACTCCCGACTTGCCGGCTTGACTGCCTGGAAAAGCGGAGTACTCGCTTCGGCTGCTGTTGCTTGCAGCGGCTTGAGGCACCCTATTGCTGGAGACGACATAGCCGCGAAACCAAGCCACATCGGCGTGGCCGAGCTGTTCGAAGATGTACACTTCGTCGCCTATTTCTAGTCCGATAAGGTGCGACTGAACGGTCGCGAGAGCTTCTTGAGTTTCAGCTCGCGATGACTGTTGCAGAAGGCCTACATCTAATGATTCCAATTCCGGACTGAATGGCAGCACGCAAAAGCCGAACAGGATTTTGGGCAAGGGTTCCCATCTACGATACTGCTTCTGTATCGCCTTGAGAGAGTCTATGCCATGTTCCAAAGAGCCGGATACGGTGGCAGCGCTTATGCCAGCGCTCGGCGTCTCCCCTATCTTCGAGCTCATCTTGGAATCTCAAGATCAGTGCCAGAGCAGCGCTCGCAGGCTTGCAAAGCTAGGACGTGAGAGGACTGAGCAGTCTAGGTACGCCTGCCTCTGAGGAGCTGCTTCGGATGCGAGCCATGCAGCAGACGAGTTGCGGAATACCTTCGGTCAGCCGTTCCGATGGCGGGTGCAGGCCTTTCTCGGCTTAGCTGCGTTCGGTAGGGAAAATGGACATGTCTGCAAAAGAGATTGTGCGGAACTCTGTCGCGGCGCGATTTGAGGAGGCAATCAACGATGGCGTAGAGAAAGGGATGGAAGCCGACCACAATGCCGGACTGAGAAGGCAATGGAGTGGTGTGCCAATGCTGACGGCGTTTTGAGAAGTGCCGACACCCCGTTTCGCGACGAACAGCGTTCAGAGCGCGCAGACGTTTACATACATCCAGTCATGAGTCTCAAGTGCTTCACGTGCGGCTGGTCGCGACGCCCATTTTTGATTCAAGATTGCGCGCGACCATGCGGTTCCCTACTCACGATTTGCGCCCCGCATGCCTGCATGGCGTCGAGCGATTACTGAATCACGTGACCAAATTGCTAGCTCGTTCCTCCGTCTCCAACCTTTCTGTTGTATGACAGGTCCGAAAACAAAAATCACGGATGCGATGAAGCATCACAACAAAATTGAAAGTTGCATTTGAGCCCCACCTTTGACATTGCCTCGCTTGGAGCGGCCCAGTGCTTGACTCAAGTCTCACGGGGCACCATCTTCGACTTGTGGCCGTGGGGGCCACGAGTCGTGAACAATTTAGTGGAGTGATTCACTTGTTACGGTAAAGCCATGAATCGCTCTTCACTCAATGAGACCGCTGGATCTCTAACAGCAGGTACTCACGAAGATAGATGCTTTACAGGATGCGAGAGACCTCCGTATGTGGCTCAGATATACTACTACTACTTCTGTACTCGGACTACTGACCCTTCACTTGACTGTCTCCCCACCACCTATGCGAGGTATAGATCTTGAACACTAACGCTTGCGGACCCCTTTGAGGAGCGTTCCATGCACCGACTCCGGGGTGTTGTGCATAAGGGTCCGGTGCGCCGCAGAACATGCAAGCGTGTGGATGGCAGCTCACGCGATTCAGACTGACTGATTACAGCATCCACCGGCGCTGGTGATAGTAAATAGTCCGATGAGCCACAGTCACTCGAGAATGCTTGAATTGAAGCAGCGTCTTGCATGCAAGGCGATCCAGACCGCGATGGGAAGATGTCACACTACTTTGCACTTGACTCAAAGCTGTCGCTGCAAGACTTGCTTTCGCCAGAAATGAATCAAGGACCGCCATGCAATCTTCAGAGTAAGCAACGCAACCCACGATTGTTGTTTCTTCGAACACTTCGGCTCCGACCTTCGGAGCTGTAGCTGTGGTCGGAGCCGCAAGCTTGTTGAGGCAAAGGAGACTGTCAATGAGCTTCTTCTACGCGTGCATTGCATCCGCTTCGTCTCTCTGCGCTGCAGCGGTAGAGTCACGAATCAAGGATCACGGATGGGGAAGACACTCGATTCCGTTTCACAACTCACAGACAGATGAGTCACGAGTGCTAGGCCGTGCATGTCTTTCGCATCAGAAGTTAGTAAAGAGAGAATCACAAAATCACTAATAGTCGTGAGCCTAGCCCGAGTCGACGTAGACACTCACTTATCTGCCGGAGTTTCGTGTGTGTGTCTTAGACTCCTGATGTACCTCCCATAGGGGGCGCGGATCACTCGGCACGGTCCCACCGGCGCTCGAGCCGCCGAAGAAGCGGGGAGTATACCTCCTCGAGCTACGTGCGGTCCCGCACACTCACACTCGGGCCGTGCAGCGCCTGACCGTTGTGCCTCGTCGAGTGGTGGGGTGCTCACGTTGAGTTGGTGCGGCCGTCACTCTGACTCTCTCGCCCTCAGATATGGCTGCTGATCCAGCGCCCAATGAGCTCTCAAGATGTATCAAGGACCGTGACATGCACGACTGAAGCACTGTATCACGGATATCATTGATTTGTGATTGTAAATCAACTCCACAACAGAGAGTAGTCACGAGTCTTTATATAGCGGCCCATGCGCCGTTGGATGCGCAGCGCGCGCAGCAGCAACTTTAGAACGCAGGTGCTGTGTGTGGCGCTGCACACGCACATGTTACAGGCGGGTCTGCATGGCTGATGGACGAGCAGTCGAAAATGCACGGAGTGGCGGTGCGCTTCTTGAAGATTGATGAAGCTGCTGTCTCGCTGCGTAAATCGCTCAATTGGCTTGGCTAGTCATATTTGGGGCCGCGTCCCGCTGCTATATGAAGCTCTGCTGCAGTGTGAGGAGTAGTTACAGTACTCAGTGACTAGTAGTACTCTTGCGCTGAGAATATCTATCGCTCATCCCTCGCTCGCCGCCGTGTGTCACGACCCGCGCGCATCAATAAGCGCCATCAAGACCGCTCTGCAGCAGAAGTGCGACGATGCATGCATGCACCATACGCGTCTAATTTACGATTGGCGCCTTTCTCCACACTTTTCCACCGGCAGGTACAGGCGGTGCTGCTGTGTCCCACAATGCGAATTCGATGTCAATTACGAATTTTGAAGGACATTGAGCCCAATAAGCGGGCCGGTCTCACTCTGCTCTTTTTGTTAATTGCGTTATGGGGAACTTGCGCGTGGGTTTGCCCGCCTCAGGCGACTGCCCTGCATGCGTGCCATCCCCACTCACAGACCGCAGTTTCAGCCTATAGCCTGCTGCCTATCCAGAGCTACGTCACGGCGCGACCTCCTCGTGCTGTAGCTCCGACCGGTTCGAGATTTGATTGCACAGGTGAGTATGCGCGCGCGAGGGAATTTTGTTCCCAAGGCTGTCCGTCCCGTCCTGTGCTCCCCCCACATACCCACGGCCAAGACTCACGACTCATCGCACCTCACATATATGCCTCGACGTGAACCGAAGCGACCCTCATTCCGTTCCCATCAACCCTCATTTGCAGCCATGTCACGAATCTTTCACTCATGAACATACCCCGCTCATCCATCTGAGCCCTGATCGCCACCCGCGTATTCTTCTTTAGATCCACATTCACGATTGACCAACATCGTCCATCTCGCATCATCCATCAGACCTATCGCGATCTGCTGTCGCCTCATTCATCGATCGCTAGGAGCATTTCGGGATCACATCCTGCATTCTACAGATCGGTCTACGAAACTGTGACCTGCGCCTCTGCTACGTCTTCATTCGGGCCACGAGCGCTCACGACACGTTCCGCAAACACTCTGCATTTGCTCAGCAGTCGACCGAGTTGTACAATCCCACCGCGCTCACCTCCACTCTGCAGCTCTTTCGCGATTCTTGAGCCCCAAGAGCAGCTACTCTCGCGCAGCCACATCGCCACTGGAGCAGGGTAGTGCTGACTTTCGGTTTGAGAGGGCAGCCAAGCTGCCGAGTGCACTTGCTATGTCCGACCTAGACGCCTTTGTCCGACCCAGCGTCGGTCAGCGTACGGAGTCAGTCAGCTTCAGCAACCGGCAAAATGGAAGCCCGAGTGGTGGTGCGCGACCGATGCTTGGCGATGACAAACCATCGAAGGGATTCGCCACATTCAACTTGACCTCAAGTAGCACTGCGCTAGCTCCACCAAGCCCAAGCCCAAGCTCTCCCTCTTTCACGTCCAGCATGTACATGCCGACAATGCATGAGGAATGGACATACTCACAAGACTCTAACAGGTCTCGCTTGTCAAACCACTTGCGCAGCCCTCTGGGTCAAGACTGGGCAGCCTCTCACAGACACCGCTCGACTTCGAGTGCGGCGGCTATGCCGCATCACCTCTCTCGCGCATCGTTCACTAGCAATGGGCAGCACGGTCGCTCCTCATCTGTCTGGTCTGATGCCGATGCGGGCGCTCGGAGACTCGGAGCTTGGGACTCCGGATCGTACGAGGGGTCTCTCTCAGGATCTTTGAGGGACGAGGATGATGGAGACTTTGGCGACACATCGCGCTCAGGCGAGCAGACAGCAATACAAAGTCCAGTCCATAGGGGTCGCGACATGCGTCCGGCTGCTCCGGTCGACGGAACTGGCAGCGAATCAAGAAGGCACTCAATTTCCGCAGCCCCTGGCGCCTACTCAAATGGATCTCAGAGGCGGGCTGTGGGTTTCACTATCCCGTCACAGATGTCAACAGCGTCTCGGACGACTTCCGCGGGGCCAAGGCCATCACAGGTACCTACTCCGAGAGCTGGAGGCTCATCCCTTTTCAGCAGCGGAGGACTTGCCTTCTCGGAAGATGACCTGGTCTCAGAGCTGAGCACTCTACATCTGAATCTAAACGAGGTGGCGGAGAAGCAAGAGGCCGAGGCTAGAGAGCAAGCGAGACTAGCTAATTCCAGAATTGGTCAGATCAATTTGCGTGTGCCTTCTTCCATTGCTGCGGCGACGGGCGAGCATGCATCGTCCATGCCGAGTCGACTGGGCGAGCAGGAGCATGCACTTGGGAACGGGGCCAACATCGCTACCAATTATGGGAGTCCGTGGAGCGCGCGACCAAGACAGACGGATCTGGCTGCATCATGGGACCTGCGTACCCCCGCTTCTTCCTCCCCTCAGCGTCACAATGGCTCTGACTTTCAGCCTCGTCCAGGTCCGATCGGCTCGGCAATCGATAGTGAAAGTGTTCCAATCGATCGCAGCTTTTCGGGCACACGAGGCCGCACCCCTTCAGTGTCGTCCTCGCTCAGCGGTCGCTCCGACTCTCGTGGTCCTCTGAGCCCTCCTGGACACGCCTTCCGAGCGATGGATCCTCATGCGCCCATACAAGGCTGGTCGAACCATCTAACGGCTCCTCCCAGTGCTAGTCTGCAACACTACAATGACCAATTCGAGCCATTCCCTCACGAGGCTCAAATCAGGGTCGGTCCCACTGGACAATCGCGCTTTGTTCCCATGGCACCCCCCACTGCGCCGCCTCATCTGAATGGAGTGCCGAGTCATGCGCAGATGCAAAGCCTCTTGCCGCTCGGGGTGCCTCCTAAAATCGCGGCGACCAACTTGCAGCCGCTGCCAGATACCACTTTGACTGGGCTTGCAACCCTCGGGCCCATCCCTGTGAGTGGAAACGGGCCAGCTGGCGCCAGAGCAAACGAAGGCCCAGCATACCTGCAAGAATTCGGCAAAGGTGTGCCATTGCACTCGCTTCCACCATCTCAGCAGCTTTTCTTATGCGGCTTCAAAGCGGATCGCACAGACATCTTCTTCCGGCAACCCAACCTGGCCGGCGGCTTTTCGGAAGAGGAGCAGATTGGCGTTGGCGACCTGGTCGTGGTCGAGGGCGACAGGGGCAAGGACATCGGTACTGTGGTCAACTGCAGCATCACGGCAGAGCAGGTGGAGCATTTCCTTGCCCACCAGAATGAGCTGTTGGCGCTTGCCGGCAAGGCTGATGGCTCTTTGGGAAGACCTGTTCGTGCCATCAGTCCGAAACGCTTGTTCCACAAAGCCACCTCGGCGGAGCTCAGCCTGCTACCTTCCAAGGCGCAAGACGAAGAAAAGGCTCTGCAGCTGGTGCAGACGAAGGTCATACAAAGGGGTCTGCCTATGCAGGTCATCGCTGCGGAGTTTCAGTGGGACCATCGTAAACTCACCATCTACTATCAGAGCTCTCAACGCGTCGACTTTCGTGATCTGGTCAAGGAACTTTTCCGGTTGTACAAGAGTAGAATCTGGCTCGTGCAAATCTAGATGGAAGCAGTTCAGTCATTCCGTGCTTCTCCAATTTCAAGTCATATTCCTCGCCATTCTATCTAGAAGGAAGGTGATACGAATCTTTAAGAAATCTTGGATCTCCTGTTGCTGGTGCGCTTCCTGCTTCCTTCTCTTCTGAATGTGAACTCAACTTTCACTGTAAGATTACAATCCTTGAGATGTCACTCATATCTACACTGCTGCAAATACAATTCGCTCTGATACGGGTCTTTCGCTAGGGCATGGAAGGGAAGAGATGCAATGATGCCGCTCGCTATGAGTAGTGACTTTCGCGCACAACAGATAGCGTAAGGTTGCACGCTCTTGACCAAGGTGCTAGAAAGCGAGGTTGGGAGGGCATACATCCACCCGCAACGAGCGACATTGTCGCCACACCGTCGGAGGTCGCCTACCCGCTCAGACTCCTCAAGAAGCTATTCAGGGCCCGTCTCTTCCACGCTGCGGTCGAAACGCCAGTCGCTCGTAGCTTTCCCAACGTCAGATCATGCCGAAAGTGTCCAGGTGGAGAGTCGAAGACCTCGAAATTTGGAGAAGAGTTTTGCTCAAAAGTCGCGAGTTGGAAGTGTTGTTCTCTCGCGCACAAACCAACACCTGCATGCGTGCTGCTGCTCGCTGAGCC